GGCCCCAGCCTGGGTTCGCCAGCCAGACACCTGCGCTGGAACCCAGTGCACCCTCACAGGTTAGGGACAGTTAAGTGACTTGGCCTCCCCGGGCCTGCTGCTCTGTTTGTGGTACGTGGAATCTCACTTCCTCTGCTGCAGACTGCTGAGAAGGTGGTAGGAGGACGCATGTGGGGTGCTGTGCTCAGGGCCAGGGGTTCGCACGCCTCATAAACTGCCAGCTTTCAAAGTGACATCGCCCTTTCCTGGAGAAAGCGGTGCAGTGGGTGGCTGGACCTGAGAGGAGTTGCTGAACCACGGGGCCAGGGTCTGCATCAGGTGGATGGTGGCCATTCAGCAAAATGGCAGGCTTGAGGGACAAGAAGACCATGGACAGAGGACGAAGGCTGAGGAAGAGGAAGCAGGAAGGGAGGCCAACTGCGGAGGACCTGAGGAGCACTCCCCAGAGAGGGAGAAGGGCTGGGCAGGGTTCCTGGTGGAATGGGTGCTTAGCAGCACAAGGCTCTGGGCTGCCCCAGCACCACACACAACAATAACAAATAAAGTAAGAGGGAGGAGGAAGATGCCCAGGCAGGGGATGGATGGTGAGCCAGGAGGACAGCAGCCCCCCAGCCTGAGCTGGGAGGAGTCAGGGGATGACCCAGCCTTTGGTGAGACCCCTCAGGAAGGCACAGGGGAGACTCCTGGGCCAGGACCTACCTTGGACAGGGAGTCCCTGCAGGCAATCTTCCCAGGCGAGCTATGGACACACAGGGAGGCTGGGAGGCTCATCTGCAGCAGCAAAAAAAAAGTGTGGGAAATTAGCTGAGAAAGCTCAAGAATGGGGCTAATCAGCCATGCCTGCAATACCAGCAACTCTGGAGGCGGGGGCAGGAGAATCAAAAGTTCAAGACCAGACCCAGCAATATAATGAGACCCTAAGTGACTTAGCAAGACCCTCTCTCTGAATAAAAAATAAAAAGGGCTGGGGATGGGGTTCAGTGGTAGAGCCCCCTGGGTTCCCTCCCAGGAGGGAGAGAAAGGGCTTGGGCTAGGGCCTGGCCAGGGAGCGTTCCACAGGCGGGGAGGGGTGCACCATGGGTAGGAAGGGGCTGGGAGTTCAGGCGGGGCTCAGTTGAGGAGGTGCTGGAGCACCACCCTCTGGCACTGATCACTTCTTATTTTTCTGGGTTAAGTACCTGAAACTTCCGTGGGGTCCTCAGATGCTTTAGACTTCTAATGTCCTTTAGATGCGCCCTTTTGCTAGACTTTCTGGCCTGACTAAAGGGGAAGGAGGGGACTGGTCTTGGGTCTGCCAGTGCACCAGCTGCAGTCAGCATGAGGCCCAGAAGGGAAAGGGATTCCTGGAACAGAAGACGAATCCCACACTGGTGGGGAGCTAGCTGTCCCCAGGAGAGGGGCTGCCTCCGCTTCCCTCAGTGCTGAGTGAAGCCATCAGTGTTTGTTAAGGAGCAAAGGAAAGGTCCTCTGAGTTCTGTCTGTGAGTCACAGTGGGTGAGGTGCCGCTGGAGGGGAGGGCAGAGGCACAGCAGGTGAGGTGCCTGAAGTGAGAACCAGCCACGTGGGCAGAGCTGGAAGAACCTGGAGCAGGTCAGGATGTGTCCATCCCTGCCTCGGCCCCCTCTGTCCTCGGGTGCCACTTACACAAAGCTGAGTGTGTCAGGGCCACTTGATCTTGACGCTGGATTCTAAGATGACAGTGACCTGAGGTTCTCTGCTCGCCTCCTTCCCATCCCTACTTGGGACAGAGTTCGCCTGATTCTCTTCCTCTTCTGGCTTCTTATTTCATAAATGCCACACTCCCTTACCTCTTACAAAACACTTAGAAATTGTCCAAAGCCTCTCTTCCATGATGCATCTGTAATGTATTGTCAGGGTCGGGCTCCCTCCACCCCAATGTGGGGAATGCTTCAACTCTTTTTTGCTTTAGAAATTTTCCCCAAGTCCCATCTGGGTTTTTGCTTATTTTGTATGTACATGTATTTACACACCCTTGAGTGGGTTTGTTCTTGTCCCAATGTGGCATTAGTAAGTAGTCGTTCACTGATGCCATAGACACGGATGTTTTTAAAAAGGGGTGTTTGGGCTGGGTGTGGTGGAAGCCTACAATCCCAGCAACTCGGGAGGCTAAGTAGGATCACAAATTCAAGGCTAGTCTCAGCAACTTGGTGAGACCCTATCTCTAAATGAGAATAAAAAGGGCTGGGATGTGGCTCAGTGACTAAGGTCCCCTGGTTCAAGGAAGGGGGGGAGGGGGAGAGGGAGGGAGGGAAAACAAAAGACATAATTAATTCTGCACAGACTCCTCTTCAGTGAGTCTAAAGAGGTAGGATCAGCACACTAACTGTAGTGCCAAGAAGACCAGGGAGGAAACATGGGTGGGTGGGTTTCCTCTTGCTCCTGGGTTTTCCTAGGTGCTGTGAGGTAAACCACCATGCTGAGCTGGGAAGGATCCGGCTGTGCAAATACGGGGAAATGCTAGCAAACCCTAACATGCTGACTTTTCTGTGATACTGCAGATTAACAAGTGTGATCAATTTTACATTCAATTACAGTGTCTGTTCAAAATTACCACATTCCTTTAAATTTATTGTTGTTCAGCAATTTCAAAGATGCAGCTAGAATGTGACCCAATGGCAGCAGAAAATCAGTGAGATGTTTTCTGTGGGTTAAATAATTATTTTCCAGTGATGCAAACATGTAACAGCCTGTCCATATTTTTCACTGATATAAATGCATCAATTTTCTTGATTATATATCTTGTGAAAAGCAATGGAACAAAACTGAACAAAAGATTCTTTCAGGGAACTTGCATTTGAAGCACTTTTTTTAATCTTTTTTTTTTTTTTAAAGTATCTCAAATGCTTTTTAAGTTTGTTTATTGGGGGCCTGAGAGCGCTTGCCTGGCATGTGTGAGGCACTGGGTTCAATTCTCAACACCACATATGAATAAACAACATAAATACAAAGGTCCATCAAGAACTAAAAAACTTTTTTTTTAAAGTTTGTTCATTTTTTTAAAATGGGGATTTATTTATCTATTTATTAATGTGGTGCTAAGGGTTGAGCCCAGGGATTCACTTTGCACAGGCTAGGAAAGCACTCTACCTTGGAGCTACATCTCTAGCCTTTTTTATTTTGAGATAGGTTCTTGCTGAATTGCCTTGCCTACTCTCAAATTTACCACCCTCTTTCCTCAGTCTCTTGAGTAGCTAGGATTACAGGCACCTGGCACGCCTGGCCAAAAGCATTATTTTAATGTTGACATTAAATAACTCAGGCCATGACCCAAACTAGTTTTATGTTTATATAATTAAAATGTAATTGAAAATATTGAAATGTAACTTCCAATTCCCTAGAGGGGGTGCCCCCACCCATCTCTTACAGGTGTGTGCTGTAATAGAAACAAAGAGTCGCTAGGTGGCTCTGTCCTTTTTAAATAAAAAATAAATAAATAAAGACTAAAGTCTGCAAAGGTTACAGTTAGGAAACAAAGTATCGTTACTCAGTAGAACCTTTAATCAAAACAATAAACTATAATCTCCAACATGGTCCCTCATTCAGAATAATTTGGAGCTACTGGGTGAAGAATTAGACCCTAAAGGAAACCTTCAAAACTGCTTTCTGTATGGGTGATGAATTTGCTGAAAAGAAAGATATTGTATTCTTAAAGGCACCAATTACTAAAGGGGAGATGGCTTCAAACTTTAGTAATGTTCTGCCATCCAGCCAACTTTTCTTTTGGACCTCCTCTTTTTAGCTTTGAACTTTACAATTTAAGAACAGATATTAAATTGGGGCATTATAATAACATCAAGGATTTCTTTCCAATTTCTTGGAAATGGTTTTACTATTAACTATTAACACCCCAGGAGAGAAATCTCAAAATCCAACAAATTTGTTTATCTACATTAAGAAAACATTTAGGGGCTGGAATTGTGGCTCAGTGGTAGAGCACATACCTTGCATGTGTGAGGCACTGGGTTCCATCCTCAGCACCATATAAAAATAAAGTTATTGTGTCTATCTACAACTAAAAAATATATTTTTTAAAAAAAGAAAGAAAACATTTAGATCCTTAAATCTAAATCAAAATATGATGTAGACAAACACTATTCCTTTTATTCCTTTCCACAGTATTTGGTAGGAGATTTAAAGAAATTGTTTCTGGTTCCAAAAAGATGACTAGTTACATTTGAAGTGAGATTAACATTCTTAGCACCAAAATTTGCTAAGTAAATATCTCTCAATTTCTTTAAGTACCAAAGTACATAAATAAATTTATCATGAAAATAAATGCCCTGCTATATGGGTGGGTGGGTGGGGTGACAAACGATTAAATATTCCGAACTGTTAGCCTGTAATTGGCATATGCAGAATAAAACGTTTTCCTTTCTCTCCTCCAGCATTTTTTTTTTTTCTTTTTTGGCGGAGGGGTGAGTACAGGAGATTGAACTCAGGATTTTACTTAGAGACAGGGTGTCCTTCAGACGTAAGGACACATTTAGGAATACTTTGTATTGGAAGAGACCATTTTCTTATTGTTGCTTTGAACCAATAAATAATGATTGCGCGGTACTTGGGATCGCCACAGTATTTTACTGCATTTGTTTTTTCTAGGCAGGGAGCCACATATTAGAATAAGTGGAATGCAAGTCATATAATCCGATTAGACTTTTTAAAAAATGAACATTTTTTCACAACTTAAATGACTTTAAACTAGCTTTAAAAGGCTAATTCCGAAGCCACTTAATTGAAAGTCTTTGAAAACGTTCACCGTTTTAAAGGTAACGAAATTACACCAGAAGTCTGAACAAACCGGACCTAAGATGAGCAAGTGCTTCCCGGAGTGATGGAACGCAGGGTTTGGCTAGAAGAACTGAACCCCGACTTCAGTGGCTCTGATCACAGAATCCCCAGGGAGCGCAGACACGCCTAGGTGCCGGGGAACACCTCCCGCCGCACCCCCAAAAGGGCTGAAATTTTCCTCTACGGCTTACGATTGGGAGACGATCTGCATCGCGGAACGTGCATCGCCCTGGATCACAAAAGGTTTGGGGCTCGAGGTAGAAGAAGCGAAGAGGTCTGGGCAGGTGGCCTGAGCGGCCCCCGAATTAACGTGCAGACTTTCCCGAAGAGATTTATAAGTTTGCGTTACCTCCTCTTTTTAACATTTGTGCTCTTATCTCGTCGCCTAGTTGAGAGGACGGGAAGCGTTGCTCACCTTAAACCCGGTGGCTCGGCCAGCGCACGCGGGGAGGGGCGGGGCGGGGCGCGGCAGGTGGGGCGGGCCGGGGGCGTGGAGAGCGGGCCGCGGCCCGGGGGTGGCGCGCGGATATAAGCCGCTGCTCTCTGGGCTCCGCCCGCACCTGCCGGACCCCGGCCCGGGAGCCGGCGCCGAGCGCAGGCGAGGCGGGCCGCAGGGTGGCCCGCAGAGGGATGCTCTCGACCGAGCGGCGGGACCAGCCGCGCTCCCCGCTCGCCGCGGCCGCGCCGCACCCGCCCTCGGCCGCCGACATGGCCCTCTACTGCGGCGACAACTTCGGCGTGTACTCGCAGCCCAGCCTGCCCCCCGCCGCCGCCGCCCCGGGCGCGCCCCCGGCCTCCAGGGCGCCCTACACGCTGGCCGACTACGCCGCTCCGCCGGCCGCTGCCGCCAACCCTTACCTGTGGCTCAATGGGCCCGGGGTGGGCGGCCCGTCCTCCGCCGCTGCCGCCGCGGCCGCCGCCTACCTGGGCGCACCGCCGCCGCCGCCGCCGCCGCCGCCCGGGGCCGCGGCCGGGCCCTTCCTGCAGCCGCCGCCCGCCGCCGGCTCCTTCACGTGCGCCCAGCGGCCCTTCGCGCAACCCGCGCCCGCCGCGCCCGCCTCGCCCGCGGGGTCCGCGGCGCCCGGAGAGCTGGGCTGGCTGTCCATGGCCAGCCGCGAGGACTTGATGAAGATGGTGCGGCCGCCCTACTCGTACTCAGCGCTCATCGCCATGGCCATCCAGAGCGCGCCCGAGCGCAAGCTTACGCTCAGCCACATCTACCAGTTCGTGGCCGACAGCTTCCCCTTCTACCAGCGCAGCAAGGCCGGCTGGCAGAACTCTATTCGCCACAACCTGTCGCTCAACGACTGCTTCAAGAAGGTGCCCCGCGACGAGGATGACCCAGGTGAGGGCGGCGAGGCAGGTGCTTCGCAGCTCAGTCGGCGGGCGCGGGCAGGAGCCGGGCAGGGTCTGTGGCTGCCTGGTCTCCTCCGAGCCGGGGCGGGAGCAGGTGGAGGGGCAGCCACCTCGTCTGACCAGGGTGAGGGGAACCGGAGGAGAAAGAAACGTCAGAGAGGTCTGGAGGGAGCACCCGGTGAGCGGGGAGCTGGTCCCTTACCTCCGTACCTCCAGTTAGATAGAGGAGAGGGGGAACGTTCGTGTCAAACGAGAGGCCACCCCTGGGCAGTGTTCATCGGCCCTTTTGAAGGGTCGCCTAGTTACAAGGAAGGCCGATGGGGAGTAGGAATGCCTGGAAACTCACCCGAAAGGGGAGATAGATGGTTGAGAAAGCTGGGATCCCCGTCGGCTTTCACAAAGGAAGCGGACTCTGGCGCGTTTCCTCCTCTATCCGACTCCTACGAATCTCACTGTGGCCACCTGAGAGAGAAGACCTGACCACCGTGGCTCCGGCACCATTAGATAGAGCTGGGACAGCTTTCATGACCCTACAAATTGTGATTTTGATGCCTTAACTAGTTAGAAATTTAAAAAGAATGTCCCCAACTTTCTTCTGCTCTGAGCTCCAAAACCCCTGGAGCAGGGAGGGCCACCTTACAGCGCTGAGTGTCCTTTCTTACCTGGCCTAGGAGCGGGAGGTGGAGAGAAGCAGCTTAAAAACAAGAGAGAAACTTGAGATTTTTCCCAAGGAGCCCAAGACAAGGGAAGGGGAGGGGAGAGAGCTGCCGTGGGAAACAATATTAGTCAAACAGAAGTGTTCTCAGGCATGGCGCTCAGGCTGGGATTTTCCCTAGCCCCCTGAAGCCATGCTGCAGCAGCACTTTCCAACAGGAATACTGTACAAAGTCACATTCAAAAAGTCCAGAGTCTGGTGACATTTTTAATATTATTTAAGTATCCAAAATGTTTCAATTATAAAAATTACTAGTGCATTCTTTATATTATTTCCTTGGTTCTAAATGTTCAGATTCCTGTGAGCATTTTATTCCACATCTCAATTCCAAGTGCCCATAGCCAACTGTGGCTGGTGGGTACTGTATTGAACAGAGTAGACAGTTCTAGAAGATGCATCTTCCTGATTTGGCCTCTGAATTACCCAAGATTATCTTGTTAGTTATATGAACTCTTGAACTTTCGTAAACATTTAAAGTTATTGGTAGTGTCATCAAAGCTCTTGGTACTTGCAAAACAAAACATTTTGGGCTGAAGGTGTGGTTCAGTAGTAAAGCACTTGCCTGCATGCATGAGGCCCTGGGTTCCATTCCCAGCAACCCCTCCCCCCCCACACATAATAATAATAATCTGTTGGTACCTAATTGGTCCAATATATACACCTGATAGATGCAGGTATTGTTACCTAAACTGTAGTCATATAAAACTTTCTTTTTCCTACAATTATCTGCAGAAAATGCTTCACCGAAGATCATGGGCTTGGAAGAGTGAGTGCCTACTAGTTTGTGGAAGCAGCTTAACACAGTAGTTAACAAAGAATTCTGGGTCTGGAGTCAGCCTGCCTAGATGCTGGCTCTATCATGGCAGTGATTGTGTAGCTCTTGAATACAGCAAGTTGCTGACCAGTCTGCATCTCATTTTCCCCATCTGAAGAGTGAGGACAATTGTATTAGGAGTCTCCATAGAACTGTGAGGAGGTACTAAGGTTTTCCATGTAAAACTCTCATTAAAGGTAAATGCTTGGTAGTGCTTTGAAACATCAAAGGTTCTTTTTTCTAGAAGTGAAAAGGGCTATTGGATGAAATATCCCTCTTTCCCACCTTGGTTGTAGAACATAAGGGACATTTTCTAAGCAGACAAGCTTTGTCCATGTTTGCCATGTGGACAGAAGGCTTAGAAGATTTTCAGGGGTGTGTTCTACCCAACAGGAATGGAGGTTGATGGCCAGCATTTCCTCAAACTCCAAAGGAGTGCCATCCCATGAGCTGCTAATACCGAGGAGATTGCACAGTAATTATCTTCATTTGCAGGCTGCTTTTTTTCCAGTAGGATAGTTTTTTCAATGGTGGGAGTTTTATACTTTTAGGGAATAAGAATTTTACAATAAATACACTGCTTGCCATGTGCCAGCTACTATGCTTGAGATGTCATTTAAACCTCAATCTGGTAGATGGGTGCTGTTCTCATCCCTATCATTGTAAAAAATGGAAGCCCAAGTTTTTTTTTTTTTATTTTTTAATATTTATTTTTTAGTTTTCAGCAGACACAACATCTTTATTTGTATGTGGTGCTGAGGATCGAACCCAGGCCACATGCACGCCAGGCAAGCACGCTACCGCTCCGCTTGAGCCACATCCCCAGCCCCAAAGCCCAAGTTTTAAGTAGCAACAGAGTTCCATGATTTTGCAAGGTCACACTTTTTTGGATCTAGAATAAGGGAAGGTGTGTTGGGCAATTTAATTATAAGTGCTTTGGGAATCTAATTAAGTCTGGGGGAGGCATGGAACCCAGGGCCTCACACATGCTAGGCAAGCACTCTACTGCTGAGCTAATTCAGTCCTGCAATCTCCAACTTTGACATCTATATGGGGTCCTGCCAAGTTGCCCAGGCTGGTCTGGAATTTGCCATGCCCCTGCCTCAGTTTCCCCAGTCTCTGGGGAGACAGGGGCATGTCCAGATCACATGATTTCTATCACAGTTACATTTTCCTTAATTGTGCTACTTTATTATTAGTTATTAGTAGTAACTTTTACCTTGCCTCATTTTAGAAATTAAACTGTATCGTGGGTAAATATGTATAGGGGAAAAAAAAAAAAAAAAAAACAGAAAAAAGAGGTTTGGCGCTTCCAGGGTTGTAGGCAGCCCCTGGGGTCTTGGGACCTGAGGGGACCGTGGACAACTATGCACGGGCATAAACAGGTCCTTCTCTAATATGTCCTTCGTTCCCAGGGAAAGGTAATTACTGGACTCTGGATCCAAACTGCGAGAAGATGTTTGATAATGGAAACTTCCGTCGGAAGCGCAAGCGGCGCTCGGAGGCCAGCGGCAGCTCTGCGGTGGCCACCGGGACTTCCAAGTCAGAAGAAGGGCTGTCCTCGGGATTGGGGGCCCGAGTGGGCGGCGCCCCGGAGGGAGAAGGCCCCTCCTCGGTGCTGCGGCCAGCGCAGTCGCCGGAGCCTGAGGGCGCCAAGAGCCCAGCGTCCCCACCAGGTGGCCCGGTGCTGGCCTCCGCCCCCTGCCTCGGTGCCTTCTTCAGCAGCCTCAGCGGTCTCAGCGTCGGCAGCGGTGGGAGTGCCCAGCGCGCCGGCCCTGGCGGCCGCCACCTGGGGGCCCAAGGCCCCCAGCTGCCCTCCAGCAGCGCCTTCCCCGCCACCTCCATCTCCGAGGCCTCTGCAGACACCTTGGCGCTGGGCACCAGCAGCAGCAGCAGCCAGCGATCTTCCTACTACAGCCCGTTCCCGGCCAGCGCCGGTGGGGGCCAGAGCAGCCCCTTCAGCAGCCCCTTCTACAACCTGGGCATGGTCAACAGCCTCATCTACCCACGGGAGGGCTCCGAGGTGTAGGAGCCCTCAGACTTGGAGGCACTGCTGAGCAGATCGAGGTCTGGGGTGGGGCTGAGCTTCGTATTTGTTTGAACTCCTGGGTGATCCCATGGTGTAACTGCCAGGGAGCAGGGAACCCCCAGACCCCAGCAAACTTTTACAGATCTCCTGAAGATGGGCCTCTGGGCAGAAGTCTGCCTGCATTCCGAGGCAGGTAGCCTGCAGCCCTGTGAGGCAGAGACTGGGTCTGGGGGCTTGTTGGTCTGTGCCGGGTTGTGGGCTCAGGGGTGCGCAATTGGAGCCCGCCCTGAAGTCCCTAGGTGGTAAACAGCAGCTGGCACTTGGAGCCGGTGGTTGAACCCACCAGCCAAAGGCTCGGAAGCAGCTGGCCATCCCCTGTCCTACTCTCTGATCTTTTCTAGAAAAGCCAGGTAATTTGGCCTTTTATAGGAAACTTCCAACTTTGTGTCCTTGGCCTCCAGTTAAAGTTTGTATCAGTGTGCCAGGAAGCACTACAAGTGTGCAGCAATTCACCTCTGACTGGTACCTGTGACATACTTATTGCCTTAAGGCTGCCCTAGGTACCAAGCATTGCCCTAGTCTCAATGGGTTTAGCCCATCGAGTCTGCCTCACAGGGGTGGCCACAGAGCCCTGTCCCACACTTGCTGTCTATGCAAGCGTCATGGACTTCTGAGATGAGATGTGACTTGCCCTAGGTCCCAGGGAGAAAATGGTGGAACTGGGCCTGGCTGCAGAGCTGGAGCTGGTAACCTGTATCCCAGCTGCTGAGACCAACTGCACCGTGTCAGGCTAAGG